GTCGTTACCGGATGCGAATTTAAAAAGTCGAATTTTCTAACTTTTTTGTTTTTCAAAATTTTTCTTCAATTTTAGTAGGGTTAATAGAGACATTTCTAAAAAGGCTTAATGCATAATTTGTTTAAAAATTGATAAATCCAAACTCTAGATATTCGCATTTTAAAATTTGAAGCAGGTCCAAAATGGCGGCTGTCTCCGTAAACTCCAACGAGCAGGTCGGCACTCGGAGCTCCTCGGGTGGCTGGTACCTCGCACACTCAACGGTATTCTACCATCATAATCCCGATTATGTCTGAATTTTTTTTTTTCATTTTTTAGCTCTTATTTACGCTTCCATCTTTATAAATGATGTTTTTTTCTCTGTGAATCCTGCGCTATTTTCCTTTGTTTTAAATAAATCTTTAAAAATCCTTGCATTTTTGTGAAGGACCCATGTTATATTTTACGGACATTGGTAAGTAAAAGTTTTCCTGAGAAAGAAAAGGTTAAATACATGGGTTTTTTCACTTATTAAATAGTGATTGAGAGTGATCTCCCATGTAGAATTCTCTAAGCGATGAAAACCAATAAAGCATATGTTTACAGAGGTAAACAAAGAGCACGTGTACTTCCTTCAATGGGTAGAATCATCTATACAGCAAGAAAGAAATGGCTTTGTTGTACATTGTATTCAGGAAACAAAGAGCCAACAGGTCGTCATTTACCATAGTTATGCTCAGTATGCTGGGAAAGGCAAAGATGCGACATATGCTGAAAGGTAGACCGACTGAGATCAGTTTCTAGGTTGTATGAAGGAAGCAGCATTTAGTAACTACGAATAAAAATTGAAATAAATCCATGCCAATATTTTTATGACAATGTGTTTCAATCAACAGGTAAAAAACACCAAACTTTTATGAGTAATAGACTTTGAGGAGTAAGCGAAACCATTTGGGTTAAACGCGCCAGTCGTCACTTCCGCTTGTCATAGAAAGTGATCAAAGAAATAAAAAAATTCAACTTTTCTTTTTTAAATTTAAACTTGCATCACTTTATTGCATCTCTTTCACTGTTTTGAAATATGTTAGATTCCACCGGAAAAAAACCGTCAATTTCCGGTTTTAGGAGATAAACTACGCTATTTTTATATTTAACTTTCTCATAAATATTTCTTATCGATAAAGTGCTTGAAATAATTTCATGTATGTTGTAGGTACTGCAAATGTCTAGAGAAAAGTCAGAAATTTTTATCAAATTCACTTCCGATCGTGTGTTTACCTTCCTCAAAATTAGAATTTGTTCTCACAATATTGCTCGGCAACAGTAAACGACTGAAGTCTAAAACTTTCAGGACTGATAGTCAGTCATCAGATTATTTGAATCGTGAGAAAATCTTGTATCTCCGTTACTTCTGGTCGTGATAGGAAGTGATACAAAAAAGTGAATGGTTAATGGTTAGCACGTTGGATTTTCACGCTGACTACCAGGGTTAAATCTCCAGAGTGTCTGAATTTCTTTTATCACTTTTTCAGCTTGAATTTTCGCTTTTATTTTCAGAATCGGACGGAAGACCTCTCATTGCTCGCAATGAGTTTCTAGTACATTCTATAATTCTCTTATCCCCACTATCTGAAAAGAATTATAAAATTTTTATGTAATGAAACAATTAAACCCCTTCTTGGGTTCCATTGAAATTTGAAGGCCATGAATATTGAAGGTTACATGCATGCATTACTCTGAAACTGTGTAGCCATTTTGTCCTTCAGAGAAATGTTAATATATAACTAATACTAGCATCCAGATTAACAATGCTCAATTGTACATTTGGTTGCTACAGCTATGTTTGATTGTGTTTAATAGTTGTTCTGACATCATGTTGAATGAAATATAATAAAGCTTCGATAATTTCTTTGAAAAACTGTCAGAGAATAAAATAATTTATGCAGATTTATGAACAAAGTTTCCCAACAATTATTATTAAGGTCTTCCGTCTTCAGTGGAAGACCTTCTTGTTATTCTTAGGTTTCTTTTTCACTTTTATTATTATTGTTTTTTTTCTTACCGAATTTGTGCACGCGATTTCTCGAAAACGGCTCGATGGATTTCTATGAAACTTTCAGGACTTATGTAACATCAGTTGAACCTTATGCCTTTTTTTCCGTTTTGATGACGTCACTTCCGGTCTGGAGATATTGCCGATTTAATGGTTATCGAAGGGTCGGGTTGTCTCCAGATTTTCTCATATACGGCTTTAGTTAGAAACATGAAACTTTCAGGTATGGTAGACCTATGTCTGTAGATATGCATAACGCATTTCATTTTTACCGGAAGTGCCGCACCTTGGTGCTCGCTATGGCCCGAAAAAAGTCCTATCGGGAATTTTAAATTTTCTAACACTTTTTCTATAATATCTTTTTACCTGTAAATATTTTGTTTAAACATATAGAACAAAAGTTGTGTAGAATGTTACGATCCTTCAAATGATACCAACAATAAGGGCCTGGCCCCTAACATTAGGGAGCTAGAGGGGCCAAAAGTGTTTTCCTGATATCTCAAAAAGTATTGAGAATTTGTATAGCTTCGTAGAAGGAAAGTTGTTCAAAATGATAAGCAGCAGCGAAGGAGACCATTAAAAGTCGTCAAAATGACGTCACTTCCGGTCACACCGAGAGTAATGGTAAATGGCTCATATTTGCATATATGACCGTAGAAGTCTCTCGATCTCAATCTCATCTCCCTCAAATTTAGACGGAAGACTTATTTGTTGCTTTGCAACAAGCTCGTCTAGTTTTATAATTATTTTTGTTACACAAAACAATGAAAATGTAGCGCGATATTATACAGGCATTTATCTAGATATCTCATTTGACTACCCTTTTCATGTAAAGGGGAAAAATGAGAATGATTGCTCAACATTAGCGCTGGGGCGTGATATATATAATAGGTTTCCCGAGTCATTCCCCCTTGGAAATTTTCAGATAAATGTAGCACAAATCTGCATTATGAAAGCTTATCTTGATTCATTGGTAGAACTATTATAAATAAATATATTTTAAATGTTATGTATGTTTAATCAGGAAAAATTCGAAAAATAAAAGGGGAATTTTGACACTTTTTCCAAAAGGGAAAGGTACCATTCATCGATAGTTAAAACAACGTTGATTAATCCTTGATTAACCTAGATATAACATCAAATATTGTGAACATGGGTTTGTGACTTTGTAAAGATCTACAAACCAATGAGTGTCTCATCCATCCCATTAAAGTTCTGTTGCAAAATGAAATGAAGATGACATATTGTTTAAATTTATACAATGAGACCATGGAAAATGTTTAAATATATAGAAAAAATCAAGCACACTAGAGACATACTATTTCTCCATAAATTTTGAACAATTTATTTTCGAAATTATTCAAATTATTATTCCAATGACATTTCTATCCCCCCCCCCCCCCCTCCTTTTCCCTTATTCTTGAAAGTATGATGTAAAAAAAAAATCATGCAAAACATGAAAAGAAAAATTTATATTTGTGCATTATACAGTTTATTTAATTAAGATGCAGTTAAGTCATGTAAATAAAATATCAAAATTTGTAGTGTTCATCCATTTCAAACGAAATGACAATAAATAGAGTAAATTCGAACTTTACTTTTCTACCAACGTTACGATGTTCACGATCTTAATTGTGCAGAAAAAACCCACCGGAATAAAATTCATTTTACTTATAATCGAGTTATGTTTGTCATACTTTAAATCAATTACTCAATAGAATGCATACCACAATAGCGAGCCAAAATAATGAAAACTTCATCTTCCAGTTCGCATGCCACATCACCGGCGTAACGTAATTTGTAATGGTAAATCTCGATGTATTCCGAGGCATCTAAGTTACTGATACTACTAATTTACGAACATATGACTACAAATGCCTGCTCAACCTGATTTGAATTTTCTCTTGTATTTACATAATCTTAATTATATTTAAAGATGCTAATGTTAATGACAAGTTCTTTAAAAAAGTAGACTTGTACCTATACCGTGTCTATGAATATTTAAAAAAAAATCAACTAAATAAAATTGATGACCTGAAATAACACTGTCCCAGAAAGTGATATATATAAGCAGAGACAATGTCTCTGATAAAGGATGAAGGCAAAAAGGGAGAATTTGAACATTACAAAAGGTCTACAATTTGGCTGAGATATTTGATATATGCATTGATATTTACAACCAAAATAGCTCCAAAAATTTATAACAATCCAAGTAGTGTATCCAATTTTTTGTTCTCACTGAAATATTACTGAAGATTATTTTCGCCCTTTACACTGGCAATCAATTTGGAACTGTTTTAAAATCGCCCAGAAACAGTTTTGTTTAAGAGATGATGCTTATTACTTTGAATTCGTGCTGTTTTAAATTCGCCCTCTTGCGACGAGGGCAAAAGGAGCGAAAATAAAACGGGGGGGGGGGGGTATATACAAGGTTATTTTCGCCCCATGTTATTTTCACACTTGCAAAATTTTTTTACGTACAGTATTTAATTCACCCAACGACAGAAGTGTTTAAGAGATAATGTTGTCTTCTTTGAATTTGCCCTATTTTAAAATTCGCCATCTTCCGACGAAGACGAAAGGGGCGAAAATAAAGCGGGCGAAAATTTCCATGTATATATACAGTAATGAATCAGCAGAAAATTTGTTGAGATATCAAAAGTACCCGATATTCATTCATTCATTTATTGTCAAACTATACTTATGTATAAATACATAATTTATTTATCAAAAAATATTTTAAAATTCAAAAAAAAATTTTGAAAGCCAGACAATTAATTAACACATTGGCAGGGTATATTTATGTGGTTTGCCCCAGTATGTAAATAAATGTTTACATGAAAATAAATCATGTGCTGAAAGCAGTGGGCTTAATTAAGCCCCTATGGTTATAGAAAGGGAGAATAATTTGAGTTTTTCCACCTTCTGCGCATTGCACAATTTTCATGTTATTAGTTTATACCCTCTTGGAAGTCCTCTCACTTTTTCCATGTTCCACGACACGCTCAGCTCTGTCGGAATAGAGGCACTCTGAAATGCGACTTTTGTTTCAAAGAATTTATTATTAGTTTGCCTTTTACATGAGCTTGGTAAAGGTATGGCTTGGGTTTTTTTTTCAATCCTATGAAAATACGTCGTTAGGCCCTAAATAACCACTTTCACTATTCAATGAAACGGAATATTTTAATCAGACGACAACAACAGTTATAAAATAATTGCTTTTTGCCTTCTGCATTTATACTCAAGTTAAATACTATATGAAATGGCATTTTATAGAATTTCTTTGCTCAATAGAATATTGCAAAAGAGTTCGAATGTTAGTACGGAAGCCCTGGAGGGACATTGACTTATTTCTTAGGTGTTTTGACTTAGTTCTTATAACTTAATTGTTAATTCTTGTTATTCTAAATTTGTTATCACACATTTACTCAACCCAAAACGTGGTGTGAAAGATGTAGGCTACGTGTAGTTTCAGAAAAGAAGAAGGTAATATTTTGTCTTTGAATTTATTAGATAAAATAGTAGTTATGTTCATGTGTTCAATCATTATGCAAACTGGAAGTTACAAATAAGAATTAAGAAATAACTATTAAGTAACAAGAAATAACAATTAACAAATAAAAATTAAGTTGTTACAAAAAAGTTGCAAGATAAGAATTTAGTGGCCACAACAGTACTGGACCTTAAACCACAATTAATCAATCAAAAACCACAGTTAAACTAGGAGTAAACATATCATTTTAATAATACACGTAAGCCAAGCCACATGTTCTCCATAGCTATGTTACACTTAGTTATAACCAGCAACAAAAAAGTCGTAACAAATAAGTTACAACAAATAAGTTAAAACAAATAAGTCATAACAAGTAAGTCAATGTCCCTCCAGGGCTTCCGTATGTTAGCCTAAATTCGTGAATTTATGCCAAGTATGTATTTATTTATTTTTACAAAATGAAAATACTATATTTTTTCATCTGTAAAGAAAAAAGTTTTGATATGTTAAAACATAGATAATACGGAGTGTCTAACATGAATATAACATATACATATCATCTTTGTCACACAGGCACTCCCCAACTGTTAAAAAAAAAATCTTCTATACTATAAACTAGATATATTTTTTTAACAGTTAGCTTGGGAGTGCAGATGCTAAATGTCGTGTGATGTCCTAAGTGCCACCTATACATCAAAATATTAAGATTGATGTGAAAGGTCAACCAGCAATGCAGATTTTTTTTTCCCCAAATTTTTTTAAAAGACAAAATTCTGATCTTAAGAATTGAATAACATCTGCAAATCTTTGCCATGGTCTTTTTTGAATGACCCGTAGCTTTAATTCAGTTTTTGTAATGTATATATACACACTGTCGGCGTGTGATGATGACCGATCATCCTTTACCTGTCAAAAAATTTTATTGGTCTTTTGTCTCTTTTAAACTATTAAAAGGGAACATAATTCATTTTAAAAACAAATTTCACCAATTAAGGTAATTGTAGCAGCAAAAATGTTACCCTTAGGATGATGTCATTACTAAATGAATAAATTAATATAAAAAATCCTTAATTTCATTAGAGATATAACAGGTTATGTGTATCCCTTCCCCTTCTCCTCCCTCCAAATGTGTTTTCAAGATTCCATTTAGTATTGAATTTGTGTAGCACCATTCAGATAGGCATGAGTATTTTACTTTATATTTTTCTGCTTGAAATTGACCAGTATTGGTGTATATAAATTTAGAAGAACTATGTAGACATACTTGACCAGGTTATATATATATATAACCGGGTTGCTGTTTTAGAATGCATTAATATTTTTAAATTTTGTTAACAGTATGTCAGAGAACAAGAATGCAGGCTCTAACAGAAAGGAGCGACGGTTTTCCTGGTGGAGTGAACAGAGAAAGAAAGATAAGAAAAGAGAAGGTACAAAAGGGAATGTCAAAAAGGGAGTCAGCATTCTTAATGAACCATGGTGAACTGTGTACATTTATTATGTAGAAATATGAAGAGACATATTTCACAAGCAGGTCTTCTTAAAAATGCTTATTCAGTAATCAATATTTTTTTGTTTGAAAAATTTGCTAGTACAGGACTAGTGGGGTAATAGTCACAAAATATGCAAAAGTTGATGTTTTCTACCAAGCCTTAATCTGTCAGTATGTATGCCGTAAGTGCAGTAATTGAAATGTTCCTTTTTTCTTTTAGAATCCAGATAAACTACCCCGGTAGACTGTATTATGATTATTTAGAACATGCTTGTGTATAGCCACAGTTTGCATCTATTAATATCAATTATGACTACAAAGCTGAAGTAATGACTGAATATGATTGAATTCATAGCCCTTTTTAAAAAAAAAAATTAGTGATATTTATGCCCTGTTCACACGGAGAGTTTATAGGTAATTCCAATTACCGGTAAACATAATTACTGTGAACTGAATTTTGAACCCTAATGAGAATTAGTTTCATTCATTACTGCACATCAAATTGCTTCGCATTATCTCTGTGTGAATGATAAGCAAGGCTAATTTAATTAAATTTTGAAGCATGTGTAATAGCAAAATTAAGTCACAAGCCACATGTCGATAGTCAGATATACATAGCTATGCTATTTTTGAGTGAAAAACAAAGGAATATTAAGTTTATCACTAAAATGTGTACAGACACTATGACATTATGTCAGATGTATATTTGCTCTTAGGGATGGGTATTGCCAAAAATTTTGTATCGCAATATATCACGATTGTCTCAAAAATATCACGATAATATCATGATATTTTTACACATAATTTTTACTATGATTTTAAATGAATTTCCATGATTTTTCTAACAAATATAATTTGAAAACATAACTTAACTTTTTTTATTTTATTTATACATTAATAAAGCATGTTTGGATGCTAGGATGCTGTTGTTTTAATGTTTGACAACTTTTTTTTTACAATTCCTGTAATTGCAATTCAAGAGTTTATAATAAAAAATTAATAATTTTCGGAATTTATAATTACATACTAAAAACCAGTATTTTAGTCTCCGTATCACGATACATATCGCGCAATAAAAAATCACGATATACCGGTATACCGATAAAATTGCACATCCCTAATTGCTCTGCATAAGATGCAAAGGTGTTTTGCAAATGAATTCATTATAATAGCCTTACTTGGAAGTAAAATTTTAATTCCCATTAGTTCACTTCGCATTAACTGTCAGGTGAACACAATTTAATTGGCATTATTTTACTCCACATTAGTTTACTGTGAATTAAATATTTAATGTGCATTCATGTGAATGGGGCATTACATTCTGAGAGACAAAGGGTTGAAGGTTAGGGGCGTGCCTTGTCTTTGATATAATTTGTTGCAATTTTTAGCTCACCTGAACGGAAGGCTCAAGTGAGCTTTTCTGATCAAAAGTCCATTGTATCTCGTTGTCATCGTTAAAATTTCACATTTTCATCTTCACAAGAACCACTGGACCAATTTCAACTAAACTTGGCACAGAGTATCTTTGGGTAAAGGGAATTCAAGTTTATTCAAATAAAGGGCCACACTCTCTTCCAAAGGGAGATAACTAAGAAAATAGTGAAAATTGGTAAAAATCCTCTCAAGAACCATAAAGCCAGAATAGATGAAAATTATGTGAAAGCTTTTTTACATAATATAAATTCAAGTTTGTTCAAAACATGAACCCCTGGGGGCAGGGTGGGGCCACGATGGGCAATCAAATTTTTACGTAGGTATACATATGAAAAATCTTTAAAAATCTTCTTCTCAAGAACAGTAAAGGAATGATTAGACATATTTATATGGAAGCATCCTCAGGTAGTTTACATTCAACATTGTTCAAATCATGACCCCTAGGAGTAGGGAAGGGCCAAGGGGGTTAGGGTTAGGCCATAATTGGTGATCAAAGTTTTACATGAGAATACATAGGATGAATCGTTAAGATCTTCTTCCCAAGAATATCAAATGCATGATTAGTTATATTAATTCAGAAGCATCCTCAGGCAATGTATATTCAAATTTAAATCATGTCCACTGGGCGTAGGGCAGGGCCACAAATAGAAGAATTCAAGTGTGAATGAATCAAGCCCCCCAACCCTTTCATGGATGGAGTGGGGGGGGGGTATGTGATTACTTATATATTTAACTTCTTCAATACTTGAGTGATTTCTGCTTTTTTTCTAGCCAATGTGCTCAGGTGACTGGGTGAGCAATGTGGTCCATGGGCCTCTTGTTCCCTTATGGTTCCTTTTTAAGAGGAAACCATAAAAGGATCAAGAGGCCCTTGGGCCACATCACTCACCCAGTCACCTGAATATGTTTCTTTCTTTTTTAGCTCACCTCGACGAAGTCGAGATGAGCTTATGCTATACCCCCGGCGTCGGCGTCGGTGTCGGCGTCGGCGTTAGCGTCGGCGTCCCAGGTTAAAGTTTTAGGAGCAAGTCCCATTCCCAAGTAACTATAAGCCCTACCTGGACCAAACTTGCATGGATGATGCATCTAGGGATGGACACTACCAAACTTGCTTCGGATGCTGGATCTGACCTAGATTTTCCAGATGAGTGACCAGGTTAAAGTTTTAGGAGCAGGTCCATTCCTTAGTAACTATAAGCCCTACCTGGATCAAACTTGCATTGATGATGCATCTAGGGATGGACACTACCACACTTGCTTCAGATGCTGGATCTGACCTAGATTTTCCGGATGAGTGACCAGGTTAAAGTTTTAGGAGCAGGTCCATTCCCAAGTAACTATAAGCCCTACCTTGACCAAACTTGCATGGATGATGCATCTAGGGATGGACACTAACACACTTACTTCGGATGCCGGATCTGA